TGTAGCAAAGAAAGAACGTCACAGGAGCGGGAGCCACTGCAATAGCGGGAGAAGATGAGTTACTTCCAGAGCTCAGGTTGAAAATAAGTATGATTGCAAAAGGAGCTTATTTTTAGCAGTGTGACGCAAGACCATAGAGAGGGTGGTTCCCCTAGTGAGTGGCTGAGAGATGGAACTTGTAGAACGAGATGTTTGACCTTTGCTTTCCATTTCCAGAGCTAAGGTATGTTGCAGCAACCAGAAGGGCAGACGGAGATTTCAGACTTATTAAAGGAATTCCACGAAGACCTGAGGTAAGAGGAACAGTAGTTGGCAGGTAAGTTTCTGACAGGCAGTGAGACAGGAAGAAGGACCAGCATCAGAGGAAATCTGGTTCTTAACAGAGGCGAGTTAATGTTGATCCAAAGGTGCAAAAACTGGAAACACAGAGAGTGCAGTGTTACTGGCCCTACTTCTGCTGGAGGTTTCTTCCTGTTTAAAAGATTTTTCCTTCCCACTGTCGCCAAAGCGCTTGCTCATACGGGCTTACGTGATTGTTGGGGTTTGAATTAATTTGAAAATCCAGTGAGTTTACTGTAATACTGATTTGCATTTTTCAAAACATCCTACCAGACTAGGTAGTTTTAGGGTAACGTGTTCTTACTAACATGTTTCTGATCCATTTGAACAAAAAGTGTCGTACAACAGAAGGTGAAGAGTAAATTCCATAGCATACAATCATAGTGCAGCAAAGTTCAAGATAGTCTGTATATGAGTCCCCTTGAAACTGTAGCGCTATTGGGGAACTTTCATGAACATTAAACAACAATACACACTTCCTACTGTTAAGTGATAACAAATGGAAGTTGTTTCTTTTTGTATTCATAAAGACTCTTATTTAGAGTCTTTATGAATACATTTGGTAGAATGTAGTTTAATGTCTACCAAACGGAAGTGGCCTAGTGCTCTCCTCTGGCCTGTCAGTGTGATGACAAACAGGAAGACCTTTAGCCACAAACCACTAAGTCACCACGAACATTACACACGCCATGCAACATGCATGTTATGCCCATATATCCTTAATTCTTCCATCTTTGTACATAGTATATAGTAATTCTGTATTTTGTCTTGTAGTTTGTCCTCCAGCTTGCACTGGTTCGCAGCCAAGTGTGAAGCGGTGGGAATGAGAATCAGTGTGGAGTGCCCACTCTGGGTCAGGGACAAGTTCCTGCCCCAAGTGGAGGAGTTTAAGTATCTCGGGGTCTTGTTCACTAGTGAGGTGAGGTGATATGAGGTGCTCCGGGCACATCATACCGCACTGCTAAGTACACTGCTAAGCAGTATCCTATTACACAATAATACTCAAATATACTCACATATACATACGCAGATTATACTTTCATTCAATTCAATTCAATTCAATTTTATTTATATAGCACCAAATCACAACAACAGTCACCTCACGCCGCTTTATGTTGTACAGTAGATTGTACATGCCATCCATGCCCTCTATATATGTACAGTATATACTGGTATATATATATGTGTGTATACTTTATGTACGATCACACACACGTAGATCTACAAAGAGATGTCAGTAGGTAAAGATAAAACTAACCCATAGGGGAAACTGTGACATCACAGCTTTGAAAACTTTTTGAATTATCAACAGAGTCCCAACTGTCATACTGTCACACTAAATCTCTGTTTCTGTATGGGTTTGCATGCTTAGCAATATCTCTGTGTGCATTTTGTGATCCAACCCTGCAGGCCATGCATTTAATATGCCGTGCTTTACCTTACATTCAAACAGGCATTTACTGTGGCCAAAGAGCAACATAGAGTATATGCTGGCTGCAGCTTTTCCAAAAAAATGCTTTGTTTTATTTTGTTTTTTCTCATTTCTGCTGTATGTTTTTAGGAAAGTTAAGTATGTGATGGTCACTAAATCGCAACTGTGATTTCTTCACTGCTTTCACTTTATTTGTACTTATAACCATCTCCAACAGAACAGCGTGATAGTTTAGACTCCCACGAGGTAAATGTGAGGCCATGAGTGTGACCCAAACAACAATCAGTCTATTGACTTTCAGCCTACTCAGTAATTGAAAAGCAATACATTGTAGCCCATTGGAAATGTGCCAGGTGTTCTATTTTTAGCCACCAGTTATTATATCTTGTTTCCTACTTTCCTCTTCTCTCACCAGATGGGGAAACTGGACAATCGTAGTCTGACACTGAAGTACCCCGTGTGGCCACGTTTCAACTCCTTTGGTGACGCTGAGCTTGATGACAACCACCTGTCCATCGTCACCTTAGAGGAGAAACCCTTTGTCATTGTGGAGGACGTGGAAAGACTCACTGGTACCTGCATGAGGAACTCTGTGCCGTGTAGGAAGCATATCAAAGAGTAAGTGGGATATCTGTCCATCTATCACGCGGCAGTGTTAGCTAGATAGCTAAGTAAGCAAATGCAGTAAAGCTGCTTCACTACGAATCACCAAATATTACTGGTGTAAAAATGTTTGATTAAATTTTGTGTTAACAGAATGAACAAACATCTGAAATGCAGTTATGTTCACAAGTATCTGTACGAGGATACAGTTTGTGTAGTTTTTTGGATCTGTGCACCACCACGTGCATTTCAAATCGAAAAGTTAAGATGTGATTGAAGTGCACACTCTCAGCTTGATTTCAAGAGGTTTAATAAGGAATTATAGTCAACATGATTTTAAATATGAGGGTTTTTGTAATATCTAGTTTCATATATTTTTTATGTAATTGGTGAAAAATCTTTTGCCGTTATGGTCATCACCCATGGGCAGGACCAAATGCTGTGTTTCCTCCCATGAGATGCTCTGCTAGGCCTTTAATGGAGTCAAAGGCTATACTGGTTTGATATCAGGTGACTGACTTGACCAGCATTTAGCTAAATCTGAGTAGAGAATATCGCCCTGCACACTTCCGCATTCAATCTGCTACTATACTTCAATCAGACTAGACGGCAGTCGTTGTCTAGTCTGATTGACTTAGTTTGATTGTGTTTTTTTTTTTTAATTTGTTAAAGTTGTGATTTTTTAACTAAAGAAAAACATTCTGCAGTCATTCATCTTAGTTGTCCTCAATAGTCGCCCAGGAGTATTGGTGTTGTTTCATTTTAAGAACTCATATTAAGCATTCCAACAATCAACTAACCAAAACGCAAGTTAAACACTTGGAATAGCTACCTTAGCTGTCATGGAATAATGAGGGAACAGGCCTCACTTGGCAATGGAACTGCCTGTCAGTCAATTGTCCAATTATTTTTGAGCCTCTGGAAATAGGGCATTATGTATAAAAAATATCCCAAACAGTTAATGTACTGCTTTTGTTAAATCCCTTAAATCCCTTGAATGAAAGCAGAAAGTCTGCACTTCAGTCACGTCTTGATCTTTTGATTTAAAATCCACTGTTTTGGTGCACAGAAGCAAAACTACACCAAAGAAATTAGTCATTGTCTTCAAATTTATGGTCCTAACTGTATAATCCACATTACAAAATACAAAACATTTGGGTCTCATCAACAAGTAGCCACTCTGAACATCTAGTTTTTGAGGTATGTTATACCTACAGTACATATAACACCTCAAAAAACTGCTCCTACTAGGGACACACCCATCATGCAAGTGTAAATGCAGCCCTAATAAGCAAAACAAGGAAATGAGAACGAGATACAGTATTACCGCCTATGTCAATGATTATATTCAAGTATATAAGTAAGTTAAAAGAAAACGCATCCATTAAAATCATCTAAACCTAAGGCACAAAAATGTAAGTGTGTGTTACAGCTAGTCTTAATCTAACAACGCAGTCCTGTAATGGCACACGTGTTTATTATTGCAGCACAATAAGCTGCACTTAAGCCATCTCACCCACTCTCTTCCTCCTTACCTTGTCTTGTGGAAAAGCACAACACAGTGAAATGGTCTGAAATACACTCTACTCGCAGTCTAACTGATTTACACGTAATGTTGTTGTATGAGAAGAAGAACTAAGGACCGCATAAAAGAAAGTTTCATAAGTGTATTGGATAATCAGAAGGTAATAAATTTACATCATCCGTATTTCATTTTCCACAGCGCCGTCTCTGCGCTCCTCTGTCAGTGCATGCTGTCTCGCTCTCCCCTTTCTCTCACGAACAGGGGAAGCGATGCAGTGTGCAGGCTTTGCAGCAGCTTCTTTCCTCCTGAAAATGGAGGTGGCTGCTGAACTCAGCATTTTACTTCCTTCCATACCATACTTTCTTCTTTTTTTTCACTAACGCCAAAATACCTCTAGCCCCTTGTTATATTATATTCCTGGAGCGCAAACACACACTGTGGGTGTATGTCACAGAGTGACTTGAGTGGTGCTGAATCAGCGTAATAATAAATGACGTCTGGATCACGTACATTTTCATGGATATTTATTATAGATATTCATTTTTTCCACATTGAAATACCAGAAAATGTTAGGAGATCAAGTCTGGGCATTTTTCAGAGTTGCCCTTTCTCACATGTAGCAATCAGCAATGTTCTTGTTGCTAAATACTGGAAATCGATTTGGGCAAAGGGAAACAGATCTGCGATGTCACATGTCACACGGAGTCTAGAACAGTTCAGGGCTTTAATGTATGTGTGAAAAAAAAAGGTCTACACACTTTGTGTCACTCGTTCAATGCGTACCGCGTCTGTCTGCAGCTCTTTTTGCGTCACACAAACAGAGCTGATTAAGCGGTGATAGTTTTAGGGAAGTGGCTGACAGTGATTTACATCCAGAAAACGCTGTGAAGTGGGGCGGAGAGTAAAGCGTCTCCAAGGAGGAACACAAACACACATTCACGAGCTTGTACGCTCTCTGTGGCCACATGTCCACTCACTCACAGGCCAATGCTGCTTTTCAGCCTCCCACAGCGCAATTCCCACTCAAGCATCCGAAGCGCCCATTTGGAGAAAGTGGGATAGATGGAGGGAAGGAGAGAGGCAGACCAGGAGTGGCGAACGGGGGGTTGGATCGGGGTTGAAGGAGTACCCATGCATGCAGAACCAGAAATTCACTCATCCAGGCCTGGCTTAAGAGCAAGCCATACTTACACTAACGCTCTCATAGTCATACACAGACCCACACTTTCCTCCCTGGAGACCCCTCAGGCCCTGTAGTGTTTCTATATCAAGTTGGCCTGCCAAGTTCACAAACAGCCCCCATAACATCACATGCTCTTACTGCCTGATCTGTACAGTGGCCTGCCTAAATGGGAACGCCGTGTTCGTGAATGCAGCTAAGTTCTGGCCTATATGCTTACTCTGTCAGCTCCCACCGTTCCCCACCAGCTGAATCTGCCAGAAACTTGGCTTATTTGTCCTTGTTTCCACTAACATCAACCTGTTCCTTGTAGTTGCATTACATTGACCACAATTTCATTCTTACTTCAACATCACAAGAATATATTGCATATTGTGCTTAAAGCGGCCATGCTTGGAATAAAGACAAGAAATTTACATATCAAAGAGTACAGTGCAGCCGCTGCCTAGTGTGACCTCTTCCGTGGAGAAGACTAAGTTAATTAGCGCTTCTAAGCTCATACCACATTACCCACAGAACCTCAAGCCAGTATCTCTTTTTCTCCGTCCATCCACTCTGTGATTTTATTCCATTGCCACTGGTGTCCAAACTGTTGAGCTACTGTTGAAATGTGTGGATCAGGAAAGCAAAAAAAAAAAAAGTTACATTGCATTCGACAGCGCTGCAAATGCAATTAGAAAAAGACATTATTTTACACTAAAAAGGAGTCAAGCCCATTATTTTATTTCTTCTGTGATGGATTAAAGATTGTTTAGTGTTTCAGTGTGGTGTTCAAAAGTTGCAGGTTTCATCAAATGACATTCATAACTGCTGACATATCGGCACTTGGCTCTTTTTTTTTTCCTTTCTTGTGTAAAACTGTTAGACTGTGAAAGTAAATGCCTTTCCAGTTCAAAGACAGGAAAGAATTCCACTTGGGGAGACATTTGTTTGACAGATCGATGGCGACTAGTGAGGGAGTTTGCAAAAAACTGGCAAATGTTATCTCTTTTTTCCTGGTGCTGCAGAATAACTTAAAAGTGACAAAGTTTCATCTCTGAAGGGTACTGCAGAGTCACAGCCTGATGCGCGGGGGTCCCCTCCTTACTTTCTGTCAAGTTTTTGCCCAGGTTGTTGTTACACTAAAGGACGAGGTTATCGTCTTCTAATTAGCACACATCTAAAAGTTAAATGAGACTCCCAGGTGGCTCAAAGTTGATGTGCTCTTGTGTGTGAACTCTTCTGCTCTCAAATTCATATACACAGATGGTACAAGGCTTGCAGATGCAGCGCCGTCAAAATTTCCTTCTCCAGAGAGGCGTAGGGAGAAAAGGGAGCATATTTTTCTAATCTTCAGTCATTCCTGAATAGATTGACCTGAACTTAAAGGTGAAAAAGACCCGGGGTGATATTTGTTCACTGGTGCAATCACAAATTTAACAAACACGATGGAAAAGATGAAGCAAACAATGTTCCTTTTGTTTTTTAATGAATGAATGAATGAGGGTTTCCTACCTAAATGTGGATGTAAAAATGGATTTGCAGGCTATGCAAAGAGCTGGTATTTGTTCTGTCAATGTTTACTTCAGTGTTCAATCATAGCGTTGATGTCGTTTGTTTTTTTCCCACTGCCGACACCGAGCGAAAGACTAATCATCTGCTGATGGTCTTTGTGTTTTGTGCTTCTGCAGCAACACGACCGAGGCTGGTGGGACGTATATCAAGAAGTGCTGCAAAGGTTTCTGCATTGACATTCTGAAAAAGATAGCCAAGTATGTGAAGTTCACCTATGACCTGTACCTGGTTACCAATGGCAAGCATGGCAAGAAGATCAACAACGTCTGGAATGGGATGGTGGGAGAGGTAAAAAGAGCCTTTTTGTGTGTGTATGTACAAGTGTGCCTGTGTTATTCAACTACTGTATTACTCATCTTGTTGGAAACTAACATCATTGCACATTGTGGAGATGTGCTTTGATGGGGCAGCATTTTGCTAATACAAAGTGATACATTTTAGATGAAGATATGTATTGAGGTTAAAGTTCACTCTTGTTCTTCTAAGTGGGGTACCTGCTGACCCCACAGGTATACTTTTTATGATATCATACAGGTGTTTCATTCTCTTATTCCAAATTTCCTTTCAGTTACTTGTTTTAATTAGTGCTATTTAGAATTACCAACATATTAGACAGTTTACCTATTAGCTAGCTTTAATATATGGAACTATGTACTGATGTCATGTTTGCCATATGTCCTATGTTCAGGGTATTGAGGATGATAAAGGAGACAGATTCTTTGACCATATCGTGTGACTATTTTAGGTCATATTTAATGTTTTTAGAGGATAAACTTAATGTTTTGCTGTTATGGTTGTTTTATAAAACATTTAATTTTAAGGCTACCAAGATCCCCAGTCAGTACTTCTACTGTTAAAAACCTGGGTGAATATGTTGATACGTGTTTGGTTTTGCTTAGGGTAAGGTAGAGTTCAAGTAAATTTGAAGGAAACAAATAAAAGTCTAACCTGTGTTCTCTGAAGTTGTACAACTGTATACAGTGCTGTGAAAAAGTATCTGCCTTCTGCTAGATTTCTTAGTTTTTTGCATATTTGTCAAAGTTGCATGTTGCAGATCATCAAACAAATTTCAATTAGACAAAGATAATCCGAGTAAATCCAAAAGGCAGATTGATGATTAATGATGATTTGAATGAAGTGAAAACTGCTATCCAAACCTACCTGGCCCTGTGTGAAAAAGTAATTGGATCGATCTCCAGTTGGCGTGTCAACGTATTCTTGGGCAAGATACTGAGCCATGAGTTGCCCTGATGCATCCGTTGGCGTGTAACTGGTGTAAATAAAGTTCTTGAATCTCACATTTGCAAACAATATCTTGCTGATCAGACAGAGATGAACTTTTTTGAGTTTGAGTCCCGTTAAATCTAACACAACATTTAAACATGGAAGCCCCTGAACTAGCGATTCGCCAACAATATGTGATCAGGAGGTAAATATTGCAGGGCAACAAATGTGTGAGCAAACAAACCTCAGAACTGATGCCTACTGTAAAGTTTGATCTTAAGTAATCTGTAATCAAAGGCACTAAAAAAAGTGACCAACAATTTAAAATGTGCTTTTTTTTAAAAGCAGACTGTTAGAATGATCATATATTTTTTCATTTTTTTATGTTTCAAAATAAATTTAAATATCGCCAGAGCAAATGTTCAGAGAGTGTAAAAAACAACAACAACAACAACAAAAAAAAACTGTTACTATAGCAACTCAGACCTGAAGACCCAAGTTCCAGAGTTCATTTTAAGACTATAAACTTTATAGCTGTCTGTATTTTTTAATGGTAGACTTCATTTGCTGGGTTGAATGTTATTTGTTATTTGTTATTTGTTTTAATCCTATTTTTCACTTCTGCTTGCATATTGGCTACATTGATTAAATTTCAGTATGAGATTAAAAACTTTATTTATGTGCTATCAGTAATCTTTACATTCTTGTCAACATTTACTAGGATGGAAGAGACAACATGTAGTTAGCCTAATGAAGACATTTTTCTACTCTGTGATAGCTATCGAGGGTGTACTCCACCTTTTGACCCTGTGACAGCTGGGGTGGACTTTAGGCAACAAAGCTGGAAAAGGATCCAGATGGATGAATGGATGAGTAGATTGTAACTTTCTCTTCCTTTCTCCCCAATCATTCCTCTTATGTCCCTGCTCTCCTCCCACCTCCTCCCCTACCCTGAAAAGGTGGTCTATAAGAAAGCCGTCATGGCCGTCGGATCTCTGACGATCAATGAGGAGCGTTCTGAGGTCATCGATTTCTCCGTCCCGTTCGTGGAAACTGGGATCAGTGTCATGGTGTCCCGTAGCAATGGAACCGTGTCCCCATCAGCCTTCCTTGGTAATTGTCACCAAATAGCTGCTCCTCTCTTGTTAGACTGAGGAGAGAACAAGAAGAAAACCTGTCTTGTTTGCTTCTCCGGTTTGTGTTAGTATAGAACGGTGTTTGTTTTGAGTGTGTGTGTGTGTGTTCCCTCAGATACAGCACTGACAACATAATTCACTTCTGTTACACAGCTGTCAATACTTGCTCTTTCATCTGAGGGATTTAGCTGAACGCCCGCTTCCTGCCACAGCGACTCTCACTTACCTGAGAGGCACTTAACCGCAGGATTTTAACCTAAGAGACCACGGCTATCCCCGTTATGGTTCCTCAGTCACGTTCATTTGAGGCAGAGTGCTTTAACATTGACATCCACAATAGTTTGCGATGCCACTGACCCAATGCACACACAAGCTTACATGCAAATTGGCTGCAGGATTTTCCACGAAAAAGAGAAACTCTAACACACACAGCAAGGACGCACAAGCAAGTACACATGCTGACCTGCATGGAAGCATGCAGTTAGTGGTGTGAAAATGGAAATTATAAGGGCTTAGCAGGAAAACCTCATAATGGCTGCTTGCCACTCTGCACATGCACACTCAAATGCACACATCCCGGTGTGTGGCCCTATGCCAGCAGTGCTCTCCCATACATTAGAGCAGAGTTTAATCTCTGCAGTAATGTTAAGGGCTCAGAGGGAGGACAGGAGTGCTGACACCAGGGCTTTCTATACTGTACCCCTTATTCCACAGCCAAATAGGAGGAACGCCAGTATATATGCAAGTGGTTTGGGGTAGGTGGGTGGGGTGAGATCTGTAGGGCTTCTGAACTTAGAATGGTCTGCTTGGACATGGAGTTCTTTCCTCAGTATGTGTGTGTGTGTGTGTGCATACGGTATTTCTGACCTGTTTATTCCTTCAGTTTATGGAAAGACGAGGAGTGTGCAAATGATAAGAAAAAGTGATGGATAAGCTATAAAAAGTGCAGTATTAGCTAAGCATGAGCACGACCTCTGTTTTCTTGACTTTCTCTCTTTCTTTCACAGAGCCATTCAGTGCATCAGTGTGGGTGATGATGTTTGTGATGCTCCTGCTGGTGACTGCAATGGCTGTCTTCATGTTCGAATACATCAGTCCTCTTGGCTTCAACAGAAACTTGGCACAGGGAAAAGGTGAGTACGGACACTCAAGCTTAATTTAGACTCCTGCACTGATTCTAGCCTATGCCAACATTTATGCCTGTGTTGCTGTGGCGCTGCTGCGTGTAGTCTAAGGAGGTGCACGTCAAGTTGTGCCGTAGGGTTTCAGGAGGGTTATAATATACCTACGACATAAATTTAACACAGAAGCACAAGTCCACTGCTCTAATATTGTGTAGTTTCAATTACATGTCACTTGTTCTACAAATAGATGTTGAAATATTTGTTTTCTTTCTTTCTAATTTTATACCATCCATCTCTCTTTCCCACACACTCTCTCTTTCCTCGTTTTCAGACCCTCACGGCCCTTCGTTCACCATGGGCAAGGCAGTGTGGTTGCTGTGGGGTCTGGTCTTCAACAACTCGGTGCCGGTGCAAAACCCAAAGGGAACCACCAGCAAGTTCATAGTGTCAGTTTGGGCCTTCTTCGCTGTCATCTTCTTGGCCTCCTACACTGCCAACTTGGCCGCCTTCATGATTCAGGAGGAGTTTGTCGACCAAGTCACCGGGCTTTCAGACAACAAGGTAACGAAGAACTAATGAGGTAGTTTTATGATATGTTTTTTGCAGGCCTGCAGTTTTATATCATACAACAGGATTAGAAAATCATCATAGGATGAAGGGGAAAATGAAGCATAGCACCTGTTTTTGTTGCGTGTGGCTCTACCTTTCTTCTCACAAAGTTCCAGTCACCTGAATTTAAATGTACAAGTTTTACCGTTTTAAATCCAGCTGGAAATTGTGTTCTGTTGCTCCAGAATGAATTAACATGGGCTCTGTTTTATGCACTCAGAATCAAAATGACATGCATATAGAAAAATGCAGCAACAAACAGAAAGACTGGGATATAAAAAGAAAAGGTCAAGCCAAATGTAGTGAAACAGATTGGAGGGTTGGAGAAGGCTAGACAAAAGAGCAGAGTGCTTCCAAGGACAGAAATACAGATGTATTAGGGGCGATACTATCAAGAGAAGGCTGACGTAGAGGGTTTTGACAACAAACAGACGGAGAGAGGGAGGGAGGGATGGTGTAAGAGGTACATCAATTGGCAGGAGAGAGACTGAGGACTAGCAAAAGGCCAAGACACACAAGATGGTACAAGACAACAGGCAGACAGATATGGGCCAGGTTGAAGGCTGAGGTAAGGGAAGAAAGGCATTAGGAGGGAGAAAATAGAATATGTGGAAAGACAGGGAGGGTCGGGAACGAAAGGAAACAGACAAGAAGGGCAAATGGCCGTTTAGACAGTTATGCTGAGAGAGGCTCGCCATCAAGCCAAATGCGACCGACAAAATGATGAAAAGCATTCCTTGTGCACGGCCATGTTTTGTGTAGTTTACTTTAAGTGGGTTTAGACCGTTAGCAGGCACAAACAGATGCACTCTACTGTACCTTTCAACCAGGGGTAAGGATGTGAGACCACTAGTGTAAATTCTTATACTTTGGTACAACCATTTCCTTTAAAATGCAATTATAATCATTTTATATGATGAGGCAAACACTTTTTTTCCCTAAAAGTAACATTTTTTTCTTTCAAAAGTTGCAGGACCAAAATGCTTCGCAAAAGCGCACACACATACACACAACACTCTGTTGCATCAGTGCTCAACGAGATGAAGTTTAAGATTGCATCACTCCCCTCAATGCATTTGGGAAATATAGGCATAGTTTCCAAAGCAGGCTTTTGCCGTTGTTTGTTACCATCCCTAGGTTTGGTGCTTTACCTTTAGCTTTCTGGCTAGCTTGCTATAGCTGTGATAGCATACATTCCTGTTGAATACTAGTAATGGACAGCGGTGTGAATCAGATAGCTCCCCTTCGCTGCCTCGTTATATCAGTGCGTGTAGGTGTGGTTACAGCTAATATGTATTTAAGCTAATGATGATGACAGATCTTTAAAGGCAGCAAATAGTTTACTACCACTCAGTCTGAAATGTTAGTACTGATAGTAGTGATATATGTACAGGCTCATCTCTACCATATACTTATGGTGCTCACAAACTATGTGCAGTGGACAAGATTTTGCACTTTCTAATGAAAAGTGGCAGCAGTGTAGAATAGGCTGGGTATCATCACTGATTTCTAGAATCGTTTTGATTCCGATTCACAAGGTCCCGTATCGATTTCGATCCACGATTCAATTTGAATCAGGGAAATTTTGCCTCAGACAGTCAGAAATATTATAATTCTGATCACGTATCAGTACATTTCCATATTTTTCTATCTATAAAAACAAAGAAGATTTTCCTGGCCTGGGATTTTATAGCAGATGACCTTAAAAATATTCTGCAGTAGATCAAAAACGAAAGAAAACCATTAATCAACATATGAACATTACCTGATGCTGCTGAAGTGAAGCAGAGCAAAGTTACAAAGGTTTTATTAGAGACACAGCCAAGCGTTTTGCAATTTCTGCATAATTTTAAAAAGTGAAAAGTTTAAATTTGTTCAGTATTGAACAGCAGAAATGAGGCTTTCTTTTCAGAAGTAAGTAAAAGGAAAAAAAACAGCGGCCGACAGCGCTGTAAACAACGGCAGACTTGTGCGTAAAAAGCAGGTGAATAATGCAGAAAACAGATTTTTAGACGGGAAACTGTTCTTGAAGTACAGAGAGAGAGAGAGAGCTCTGCATGAAGTGTGATTTTTTTCTTGGTGGGAGCAAAACAGGAAAAGTCAAAGGGAATTCATGACGATGTTTATGTGAAGTGCTGCTTGTGGTTCAGTCAATATTGTTTGGAGAGAGATAAAAACCTGCAGCTTCAGAATCAGTGCAAAAAGGGCGTAAACACAAAGCGCGGACCCACCGAAACATCAGAATCAGGGAGCTGTCGGCTTTCAGCCCTGCCTGTGTCCATGCCGTCGGGTAAGAAAGGCGACATCTCACTGATTCTGATCTATTGGCGGGTCCGCGCTTTGTGTTTACGTCTTTGTGCAGAATCCGTGTACCTGCTCTCATTTACTGTTTTAGCTGTTTGGTGGTTGTTGAAAGTTTGTGAGGTTTAACCTGAGATTCTGACGTTTCGTGCAAAATACATTCACATTTAAAAATCGATTCAGGATTTTATTGAGTCGATATCCCGTTATCCAAGCTAGAATCGATTTTAATCGATAAATCGATAATCAAAACCCACCCCTAGTGTAGAAGCTAGTTTAACTAGTGATCGTTTTAGCATCGCTGTTAGCATTGCTCAAAGATCATAATAAGTCACACAGGCATTATTTTACAGACTTTGTAGATTGTAGATTACATTTGGTGGATGTTTGTGCCAAATCTAGGAATAGAGAGCTTTAAGAATTGTATGCAAGTATAAATTTAAGTTGATTACATTAGTTACTAACAGAATTCTTAGGATGGTCTGTGAGACACCTGTGGGGAAGTACAATAGAACAAATTACTGGTAATGAAGTGTTTCTTCTAAAATTACACATTAACTGCACGACTGGTCGATCGCTGTGTCACATTGTTTTGATTTTAAATTCCTACTAACTGAAGCCTTCAAAAAAAGTTTTGTTTTTGTTTTTAAAAAAGTGTATTTTACATATCACTTTCTTAAAGCTGCAGTATTTGTGCATTGTGTCCATTTCAGTCAATGGTGACAGGAAGAGCTGTTTTTATTTGTTTTAATAATTGATGAAGAGAAAGCAATGGATGTTTACTGAGCTGTTGAACTTGTCCTCTAAGCAGCCTGCTTCATGCACAAGTGGAGATCAGTCAGTTAACAGGTCTTTGGTGTTTTATGGTGCATGGGGATTTGTCTTTGCAAATCTGGCTGCTCTTTCTCTGCTTTTCGGTTTTGTTTCGGTTTCTCAGCATTATAAAATTGCTTTTTGCGAAGCCTACAGACTTCGAAGTTCAAATGTAAACAACTTGCTGCTGTTGTTGGAGCTGTAGTAGCTTTCAGCGGCATTATGATGAAATAAATAACTAGGTTCTGGCACTTTCCACATGCATCTACTTAGAAGAGATTTAAAACATCTCACTAACAGTCACATACGAGCAAAACATGTAGAATTGTAGACATGTAGACAAACGCTGGGAAGCGATGGGACATGAAAATGTAGCGTGGAGACCCCTAATAACTCAGTCACTAAAAATAGGATGGCACAATAGGACCACTTTTGATCGCATGGTAATTACAGAGGTCACCTGGTGGGAGGCGGCCTTCCTCCAAACATTGACTGTCTGACTGCAATCACTCTCAGACAGACTAGTGAAGGTTTGCAAATAATTGCAGTCTAGTTCATAAATGAGTGCAACTCTTCTGCAATGTGCCTCGCTCTACGTAAAAGCAAGGTTGCACAGTGCCTGCTATAATTCAAACATTTTGTTTCAAATCTACGAGGTTCCTAGTAGACAACAAATGTAAGTTGTTAATGTAAATTTCTGTTTAATATGAATTTCTGTGGACATTGCAACAGATTTGTGATTTTTGCCAGTTTATCTCAGTTAATTGAAGTCATTTGGTTTATTGGCATTTTGATGCACCAAAGTTGCTTTGAAGACTGGTGTGAACGCAGATCTGCTCTTCAACCATTTTAAAGGCAGCGAGGTTGCAAGTTTATTGCACATAGTCTGAATAATTTTGTTCATGCCGTGATCTCCGCTGTTTTATAGCATAATATTTACACACACAGAGAATAAAAAAAGATAGTAAGACATGTATCAGCCTGCATGCCAAATATCCTCGGGCAAGATACTAACCCCAAGTTGCTCTCCAATACATCCATCAGAGTGTGAATGTCTCCAACTGTTCGGCAGGAACCACTCAAGCATAGAAAATTGTGAATGAGTGAAGGAAGCATGTTGCATAAACTCCTTTGAGTGCTCAGGTAAAGTAACAAAGCGCTATACAAGAACCAGTCAGTTTATAGTGATTAGGAGATGGAGGGGAAAGCAGAAGCAGAACAGACCAAAGAAGACCTGTAGGACAAAATAGAAGAAAATAAAGGAGTAGGGTGAGTTAATAAACATGACAAAAGCAATGAGATCAATCAAGGTTTCATGATAACCACAGGCATTTGTAAGCAATATATTTATATGTTGCACAGAGTTACTATAATTTTATTGTGTTTTATTTTATTTTATTTTTATTCCATTTAGCTTGTGTAGGTTTGTAGGTTTGCTCATTTCTGTGGTTTGTGGAGTCAACTGATACTCACATCGCCATCCAGTGTCTGTAAACATGTAACCTGTGCTTTGTTTAAGGTGAAAGTTTTTACCTATTTAATAAAACATATTCCAATTATAGTTATGTAACGTACATGGACATAATGTGTAGACTCTCAGTTTTCAGTTGAGAGTATCCACATTCAAATTGGATGAAGGGTTTAGGAGTTTTAGCTCATGTGCCATCCTTTTTTTTTTTTAAATGAGCAAAAGTAATTGGACAATTGACTCAAAGGCTGTTTCGTGGGCAGGTGTGGGCAATTTTTTCATTATGTCATTACCAATTCAACAGATAAAAGGAAGATTTTGCTGTGAACAGACACTATGTGGTTAAAGGAGGTCTCCATGCAGGTGAAACAAGCCATCCCTAAGCTGCGAAAACAGAAAAAAAAACATCTGAAATGAGAAGATTGTGTTAAAAAAATGCTTTACTTCCGCACATTTTTATACAGTCTTTTTGTTCAACCCACTGAATTAAAGCTTAAAGTTTGCACTTCAACTGCACCAGAGTTGTTTCTTTTAAAATTCATTGTGGAACAGAAAACAAATATTAGAAAAAAATTGTCTCTGTCCAAATATGTATGGACCTGACTGTATATGAGAGAAATTTCTCATCTGGGTTTTGAGTCTTTTACCCAGGTAACTGGATTTTGTCCTGTGAGAAACCTTCATATTTTAATTAGATTAGTGATTATTACAGTCATTACACACATTACCAGATTTAGGCCAGATGACTCACCTCACTCAAAGCTCACCTCTTACTGATGCTCTCCTTTCCCCATGGCATTGTACTGAAATGCAGTTTAATGTGCAGGGTTTGCGCAACCCTGCATATATTTGAAGCAAAACTGTGATCTCTTTCTAAAGCTAATCAAACAGATTCTGGCAGCTAACCTGCAAGTAAAAGTATACTGCTGTATCAAGGAAAAGACGCTAAAGTACATCTTATGGATAATTTGGTAAGACCTGGAGGTTTCTGACAGCATGGCAGTATTTGAAAGTTGAGAATACGTGCTTTTTTAAAATAGTCTTTGGAAACCCTGCATCAGAAAATCGTCCGGAAATCTTGCCAGAAAGCCTTGACGGACAACAATCCCCACGATCTGGTTGTGGCTATGTTGCAGGACGGTGAGTTCTTTTATCTACACCTATCTTAGCCTCAAATCCTCTCCTGCCTCCGCTCCTTCATTTTGTCGTCAGCTCTGCATTAAGCTTTCGTTAGCAGCAGCTGGTGCAGTTCTTAAAAGCCCTTCACTGGTAATTATCAAGCAAGAGAAGAGTGCTTTTCCAGTCTGAATCCCAACCCACCACTCCACCACACCCCAACCAGCCCCTGTCACCCCCCTCTCACTCCTCCTGGGACATTTACCCTCTCCTGACCTAAAAGCTTCTATTTAACCTTAAGAAAGGCACAAATGAAGAAAAGATGAAGAAGGAGAAGTAAACAATAGCAAGGACTGTGGGAGGAGAGAATGTCTCCTAAGGGCTGTTGCTTGTCATGCTGACAAACACACTGTGTGACATCTCCACTAACATATGAATGCGCACTCGTATGCACAGCGCAGTTTGACTTGTCGACACGCGCTCACGCTCACCCTGACCTGATTACACAGCGGAGACACATATATGTGCCGTCAGATGCAGCATGTATAAACGCTTAGAAATATGCTCAAATATATTATGCAGATTAGTTTTTGATGCAAGCAAACAGTGCATCGTTTTTGCAAACAATCAAGCAGATGAGTTTTGTGTATGTTGAACAGACAGAGAAAACAACAGGAATGCTAATAATCCGCTAATGAAATTCTCCAGTAGCGGCCTACAAGTGGAGTCAATCGTGTGTTGTATGAATACGTTAAAGCAAAGTAAAGTAAGCCTGTAAGCGTTTGAGATGACATGCAGTGTTATGTTTTTGAGAACCGCTTTAATAATATGGACTGAAACCGTCGGCGCACAAACTAGCACAGCATGTGGTTAGAGTGAGGCTCATAAATACACACTTGTAATTGACAGGGTTTGTCTGCTTCTGGCACCAAGGGCAGATTGTTACCACAGTGCTGGAGGGTTGGTTTTTACCTCAGCTACAAGCACGCTTGGACAAAACTCTTGACCTGTACTCTGATACACTGATTATACCTGAGGGGGTTTGTGGAGGAGGCAGAGAGAAATGATGGGAGAATTTAAAAAGAAAAGAAAATCAGCGAGTGGATGGGAAACTACGGCACCAGTGGTTCCTTCAGTAAGGGTTGCTCTTGAAGTGTATAAATTCAAATGAAGATGTGTAACCTCAGCTTTTCCTTTTCCTTCTCCATTGTTCTTCTCACAGTTTCAGAACCCATATGCTTACTCGCCTCCGTTCCGCTTCGGGACCGTTCCAAATGGTTCCACTGAAAGGAACATCAGGAAGAACTATCCCGCCATGCACCAGTATATGGTGAAGTATCACCAAACTGGAGTCCAGGATGCACTCGTCAGCCTCAAAACGGGGTAAACAGACACTTTGTGTGCATGGGTTTTTGTGAGTTTGTTGGTAAGTGCACTTTTACATCATTCATATGTGTGTAGTTTTTTGTGAAACCCTAGGCCTGTGAAGTGTACCTCTTTCATGCCTGAATGTATCCACGCTTGTGTGTGTGTGTGTGTGTGTGTGTTTGTGTCTGTGGTGACAGGTCCTGTGAGACTGTGGATGAATGGGCTTCCTCATTGGGAACAGCAAGGGTTATTTTTAGCACTGGACTCTATAGTGGGACTGATAGTGTGTAAAGGGGGTGGGGAGTGGGGCGGTTATCAGTCTAACCAAGGAGAGATCTAAATAGTGTGTGGATGAAAAAATAAAGGTAAAGATGGGGGGAAAGAAAAGTGAGGACCAGAGTCAAGAGGAAGGGGGTAAGAGTTGAAACCCAAGTGGCAAATGTCTAATTGCAGAAAATGAAGCACAAATGGGCCAAGAGACTAGAGAATAAGAACATAGAGAGTGCACTGGAAAAGAAAAGTGAGGGAAGGGGAGGATAAAGAAGGGCAGAGAAAAGGGACAGGAAAGGGAGTATGGAGCATCAAGGATAAGAGAGACGGGAGGGAAAATGAGAACGTTAAATGACAATCGGTCGTTGAGATGACAAGAGGATATTTTTAATTGGTCACTGGCAATGGGGTGGGATCCAATTAGAGGTTCTATAGCTTAGACAACAGGCTGCCCCTGGGGAGAAATTAAATAGAGAAACAATAGATCCTCTCAGCTCCTTATCTTCCATCCACAAGTTACAGTATAAGAAAGCTGGATGTAAACACAGCCACTATGGTACTGTTAGGCACCCTGGCTTCTGTTGTTTTATCCACATGCAACATATATACATGTGTTGAAGTAAACTAATGCTTTGTGCACAACAGCTTATAAGTACACAAAAACACAAGCTTATCTGTGTATCTGTGGACTCCACCTGCTGAAGGTGTCTGCAGTCAGTAATGCAGTCATTGATATTTCGGCTCTGTGGCATAAGCAGTTGAGCAGCACTGCACCATTCAGCTATTTGGGGCTCGATGGCTGGATTAGCTGTGATCACACATAATGCTGAGAGGCTTTACACACAAAGACACACACAAAATCTGTTACAGCCACAGGAACCACGAATATTCACAGGGGAGCAAAAGTGATTTGATTTAATTATTGTTACTCTTTAAAAATAAGCAAAGTTCAACTGTTTTAATGGTTATGGTTAATTTAATGGGTATTATAATGTTGTGTTAATACATGTGTTTCAGAGGAGTTTGGGAGTTTATAATGCTTGAACCACCGCATTAGCGTCGCACTGTAACACACTCGATTCTCCAGTATTGAAAACATCTTCAGTCTTAACAAGTTGATGATTGCCAAATTCAAGTTAGCAACTTTTTTCCCTCTTTTTTCAGAAAAAAACACCCCCATCTATTATGATGAATCGTACAGTTTCTCTACATTGGTAACAAAGTCTGATAGTAACAGAGTGGACAATTAATTGCTAGAATAAATGCTAAAAGCACATGGCACAAATCAAATCATGGTTAAAACCTCTATCTGATCAATAATTAGTGGTGTTTTCATCATGGTATTATGCTATTATAGTGACAAGTTTGGCATTACACGCAAAAAACCCAGCAAACATATCTCCATGTGCTTAAGATTTTGTCAGTAACTGTATGTGGCATCCTTTTCTGTAGCTTACATAGTTGTGGGAGGCAATTCAAGCAATTTATATATTGACAGATTTATATTTGCAGACACAAATTTTTAGAGAATATATTTTTAAAATAATTTGAATATAATAGAATTATGAAAATCAACTATTTTGCCAATTAAAAAATTAATGCAAAGATATTTTGATTGCAAAGCATTCCATAGTGCAGTGTTTCCCAACCTTTTGGAGCCACGGCACATATTTCACACCACCAAACAAAAATGTACAGAAGAGGATTAGGGCCACTGGGGGAAAAAAAGAAGTGGGAACATCTTTTTTTTTTTTTTCAAATTCTGAGAAAAAAGTCAGAATTCTGAGTTTAATCTCAGAATTATGAGATTAAACTCAGAATTCTGAGAAAAAAGTCAAAATGCTGAGAAAAAAGTCAGAATTCCGACTTTAATCTCAGAATTATGAGATTAAACTCAGAATTCTGAGAAAAAAGTCAGAATTCCGACTTTTTTCCCACTTTTTTTTCCCAGTGGCCCTAATCCTCCTCCGTAAAACTGTCACAAACAGTATTTTGATGATTTTTTCCCCTCGCAGCAGGCCTAGTGGAATTAGCTTGGTTTGTCCCCAGTATACCTTTTTTGCTTTTTTGCTTTCTTCTGACCAGTACTCATGCTAGGGCCTTCATCTGGGTTGGAATTTTCTCCAAGACCAAGGTCAGATTGACTACTTTTTCTTTACAATATTTATCTATTGCTATTTTGCTCTGCATCGTCTCAATTACATGACTATTCGTTTTCTTCTGTTTTACTGGCAGTTGGCGACCCATTTAATTGGAGCAGTTAGTTGTACTGCCCTCTAGTGGAATAGAATGTAATTGTTCTGCCCGTTACTCACGCCGATCGCTTAGAGTACTAATCAGGTGGAACCAGATAGTCTTCCACAGCACACCTGGTTGGGAAACACTGCCATAGTGGACAAAAACAAATGAAGACAAAAAATAATATAAAGAATTCTATGAAAACCAGGAAAGAATGCCAATAACAATATTTTATGTGACTCAAATACTCTTTAGACTTTTGACAAATGGAATTTTTTGGCAAATTGTTACAGCTGATTATTCAAAGGTTAAAACCCCCCTTTGGG